TACTTAAAACACTGTGGGGAGTATATCTAACCTAAAAAAGGATTTACTATGAGAAAAAAAATATTCTGTCAGCTGAGGACTTCCTCAACTTTTCCCATAATATACACCTAGAAATAGAATCGAAAGTTGCTCTTAAGTCAAAAAAGTCATGACAAGATTATGTTTTAGTCATCAGGAATTTTCTCACAAGAAGCAAGTATATAAATTTATGCATCTTCACAGAATGTTTACTAAAGTTAGGAAACAGGATGGAAAATATCAAGATGAACCAATGCTGCTGGAAAGTTGACGAGTAGCATCTGATTCATTTGGAGGGAAGAATGTTTGTTGAAAGAAACAAAAATGGCTGGGCGTGAGAGCAGTTTGGCCTGTTTGTACATGGGAGCATGGAGCTAGGTATATCAGGAGAAATATAAAAATAAATGGAACGCAGTGGGAATGGGGCACTAAAGAAGAGTGTGTAGAAATACAAGAGAATACAAAAAGAATAGATGCTGAATGAATGTGGATTGGATACAAAAGTGAATGACCAACACAAAACAAATATGTTGAGGTAGTTTGGTCATAGAGAATGAATGAGGGTCGACTCGCAAAACAAATCTATGAAGGAGTGAAGGGGTTGAAAGGAGGACAGGAAAAGTCATGACTGGATGGAGTTGATGAGTTTCTTTAAAAGAGAGAGAAGACGTTTAACCAAAAAGCAGTGCATGATTCAATGTATGGACATGGTGGAAGGAAGGATGGTGTGCTAAGTTAGAAAGGTGTGGAGAGCTACAGTGAATGGTGTTTGTGTAAACCAATTTTAGCTATGTCTCCTTTTCCTTAATCCATTTAGTTCAGCATTTTGTCCTGCTTCCCTGAGCTGTGTGTAACATTGCTTATCCCGAAAAGGAATAGCATGATCAGTATGCATATAGTATATTTATTTACTGCAATAGTATATTTATTTACTGCTATATTCTCCTAATGCTATTTTTTAATGTTGAAAAAAATCTTCCTGGTCACCAGCATTCAGTATTTTAATCAATGGCTTGGTTTGTCTATAGAGTCCAAGACGGCAGTTAAAGCTGTCATTTTGTATATTAAGCTATTCAAGCTGTACTAACTGAAACATTTGATTGCCTAGGTTAATAGCTTAAATCGTATTCCTGTATAGGATTTGTCACATTCTGCACTTTAACTAAAAGCAGTTTTCTAGGTGGTTTTGTAAATGGACAAAAAGGTACATACAGTGGGGCAAAAAAGTATTTAGTCAGCCACCAATTGTGCAAGTTCTCCCACTTAAGAAGATGAGAGAGGCTTATAATTTTCATCATAGGTATACCTCAACTATGAGACACAAAATGGGGGGAAAAAATCCAGAAAATCAGGCAAAAAAGTATTTAGTCAGCCACCAATTGTGCAAGTTCTCCCACTTAAGAAGATGAGAGAGGCTTA